GTTTTTAATTTTTCTTTAATTTATCATAATTTTTTATTTATTTTATTTTTTGTTAGTTTTCTAATTTTTGTTTTATTCGGAATAGTTTAATTTATCAATTAGTTCAGTTGTATAAATCATAAAATTAAAATTTTCTTAGAAGCACTGCACTTAGAAGAAACTGCAATTAMTTTTCTAAAACTATTTTTGTAATAGCGCAAATGAAATTAATTGTTGAACAATTTCATTATAAATATCTCTTCAAAGTATTTATTTTATATTTTGTTCAATCCCGTATTTTCGCCTTTAGATGTCTCGTATCTAAACTGTTCGACGTMTGTCCACGCAGCACCGTGGAAGAGATGGAACAGCAGGAAGAAGTACGCGTTGCTTGGGGTTCGGGCATTGCTGGTCATGTGGCCGAGAGCGGTGAACCAGTTAATATACCAGATGCATATCAGGTAAGCAATTGGAAATTTTAAAGAAAATGCAAGGACATAATATTGATAGTTAAGTTTTTTGAATCAGAGATAATATAATAATCTGATACTTCAAAATTGGGTTATATTCTAAAAGAAAAAAAAAATATATATAAATTTATTTACATTTTATAGGGTATTTGTTTTGTAGGTATAGAACTCTGTTTTCAAAGAAAATATTGAAAAAAATGTTATGACATTTCCAGTTTGGATAAAATTTGATCACTGCGATTAAATCTTAGGAAGCTTAATGAGTTAGTTCCTACTGTTTATACTTTTTACAGCCTAATCTCCGCACTGTTTGCAATATAAATGTCAAAACATGGGTTAGCCATCACAGCTATTTTGACAACCATGCCTCCAGGAAAATCTATATATTTTATATATGAATAGCGATAATTTTGTGAAAGATCTTAATTTGTTTCTACTTCGACGTACAATAAGTTTGAAAGTCTAAACGACATAAATACATGCATTAAAAAGTTGAATTTCATCCCATAAATAACTCTTCAACTCAGTTTTGCTTACTCACATATGTTTTCCTCTTATACCATATGAATGTACCAGTTAAGTATTTCGTGCGCATTTGTGTACTTTTATCGCTACTTCCGTTGTSACACCATGTGCATCATTAATCATATTTATACGAGCGGCAATTTTGATTTACGAATCAAAGTAAAATTTAAACAGCTCAAAGTTCCGGTCAGTGACTATTTGTCAGCAGCAACTTTTCGATTTCTTCACTAAGAAGTCGTAGTAAGGAAACGAAATAAAATGCAGCAGCAAGCTACATTTACATTATTGCGTATACAAACTGGCATTACTTGTCGGCAGGAAAGCGTGTGCAACTCTTTGGCTCAGCAAAGAAATATTTTCAACTGCTTGCTACTTCCGGCGCATTTTACGGTATTTCACAAGCAGAGGTACAAGAAAGATTAATGATAGATTTTAATTTTTTACATTTCACTTGCTTACAATTCTTGGTTGCACTGCCTTGGCCGGAACACTGTSCAAGTATGTTATATAATGTGTTGAATTGTAAAGCTTTGGTAAGTGCTTAGCTAGCTTAACGAGTTCAGTCGTCAGTGCTTTTAGCAATTAATCTTCTGATGTTAGAAGTTCGAAAATGTACGCATAAGTGTTGTGATAATATATTTTGAAGTACTGAAACTTTTACGTCAAAAGAAAATAAGAATTTTTTTATTTTGTAAAGTAGTGAGCGAAATGAGTAAAGAGCATAGAATTTTTAGGGTTACATTGCTTGACGATTGGAATTAATTTAGCATACATGTGTAGGGTAAAAATCGAGCCAAAATTCCCTGTTCTCTCTCTCATTTTTAGGGTTACATTGCTTGACGATTGGAATTAATTTAGCATACAAGTGTAGTGTAAAAATTTACCCAAATTTCCCTGCTCTCACGGCTTTTTCTTTTCGTAAGGCAGAAGGCCAATTGGGGAATTACCGCTTATAGCTAATATTAAATCGCTGGATTCTGTTCGGTAGGCTGATGCAGCTCTGAGGGCTGCGATGCGGTGGACTTCATATAATAGGACGCTGATTGTGGTCGACATTAGAAGCTCCCCTTTTCTTAGCTAGATCATACTATATTGGCCATTGGTCTGCTGAGTTCGAAGGTGATTTTCGCTGCCTTTCCTGCGGCATACCGAATCTGTACCCAAAAGGTTAGTTTGGGGTCCAGTCTTACCACTAGGTAGTGCCTTTTGTGTCCTAAGAATATCCGTAGTCGTTTGCAAACTTACTTTTAGGGGTATGTTCTTATTAATTGGCAGTAGCAGATCTGGTTTTGCAGTAGCGAGCTGGAGGTTGTTTGAGTCGAATACAAGTTATTCAATTATAAAAGCCTTGAGAACGGATTACAATTTTTTAGTAGCTCTTTCTAACTTTGATAAACCTTGCTGAAATCTAAAATCAGCTTTTGTGCTGTTTACTTGATTATTCGAGTTCAATATTGATGAATAAACAGTTAACTCGCCACAGACAACAACGCTTTATCATTCTTATGAATAATCTCAAACACTTGCTTGCACAACGTGGAGCTAAACGTGAGAATATTAAACATATAGTCATACACTAGATATAGTCATAGATAGATAGATGGGCAATATTAAAAACAATAATGATAAGCAAGCAATAATAAAATGTAACACTCCATCAAACAGTGCTAAAGCCAATCGGTGCTGCTGATGATGAAAGCAAAGCAAATACAAATTTCGCATTAAGACATTCTGACTATGTGGTAATATTTTAATACTTACATATATATTTATATACCTACATAMATATGTACACATATAATATTAATCTATAAACATCTTTCTGCATATTTATATATRTATCACCACGTTATAAATACTCAAAATTCAAGCAGCGCTGATARCGTTATCGACCGCTATTCACTCGTGATTATGATGAAGCTGTTGAGAGCGTCATCCATTTACATTTCTACGTATCATACCACATGTATGGGTATATATGCGCGTATGTGTGTCTTTTTTTAATACTGCAACATTTTCACTTTACACTGCGTGAGTAATTGGCTTTTCTCTGAATGCAGTGTGCCGTGCATGACGATTACCTACTTACTTTCTTGATTGGCTATAAGCACATGCCCGAAAGTGTGCCGTAGTCGGCCGGTTGCCGGTTGGTTGGAAGGAAATGAGTTAAATGCGGGGAATATTACAGGAAAATAATAAACCGATATCAATTATACACTTTACACATTAATTATATTGTCACTCAGCGCAATTCTTAATAAGTGGGAAGTGTCTTGTTAAGTATAGTAAATGCATTTATTCCAAACGGCGGTGAGCGTCAGCTGACTGGCTGGCAAAATAGACAAGAAAAAACTTTAACTTCGCTTGCATCGAGTCTATAATTTTACTCTTCACCAATAGAAAATATTCGAGTACATTGATCAGTCAGTTTGTATGGCAACTATATGCTAAAGTAACTCGATCTGAACAATTTCTTCCGAGAGCGCTTTATTGTCTTAGAATTATCAGATCCAAGAAAAATTTCGTTAAAATTTCCGGTGAAATGAAAAAGTTTTCTATACAAGCACTAGATTCTGAATGTTTCCAAGCCGTTCCGGCGCGGGAGCAGCTTTTTGGTTGAAAAGGACAGGTGAAAATTTCAAAGCCGTATCTCAAAAACTGAGGACTACWTTGTATATATACATTTAGCTYATCKTACTGATAATTTATATATGGTCACCTAAAATGCAAWACATRCAGATACAATAAYCAATGTACTTATAACCATTGTATAAGGAAAACCCTAATTTGTGTGTATGATAACCAGTGTATAACCAATTTATAACCAAAACTCAAATGTGGTTTCAATATTTATGGTTTCTATTGTGAAAAGCGAAGTAACGTTATTTTATATTTTGGGTGGCGATATGTATTTTATAGGGTCACTTTTCGGTAAGCTTCGCCGATCGTTCAGGTCATGGTAACTAACTGTTCAGTTACATTCCAGTATCATAAAGAGCGTTCACAATCCTTGCATATAATTGTAGTTTCCAAAATTTTATGACTTTATATACATATATTATTTCTAAGAAAATCTATTACCATTTAATTATTATTATATTATAGTTCAGTYATTAGTTTATAAACATTTTTTATATTTAACTACTAAACCTTTACTTCTCATTTCCACTTATGCCATTCAYAGGACGAGCGCTTCAATGGCGAAATTGACAGCATAACCGGCTATCGAACGAAGGCACTGCTCTGTATGCCCATTAAGGATTCATCAGGTGACGTAATCGGTGTGGCGCAGGTCATTAATAAATTAAATGGTGAATGCTTCACTGAGGCCGATGAGAAGGTAAGCAAGTCGCGAACTGATAAGCAATAAACTTTTATATGAAGAAACTCACCAAGTTAAGGGGGTAAGCGGGCGCATAAGGCAAAGTGACAGTAAATAACTGTGCTAAATTCAGCCGCGATGCAAGAACTACTAATTTGAAATATATGTGGTAAATAGTGGATTATATGTATGTGTCAACTATATACATGTACAGATAAATATATATATTTACAAATATGTCACGCAGCTTTCAATTTCTCAGCACACAGTCTTAAATTTTTTATGRCGCTCACTTGTTGTGCACCATTTTATTATGCGCTATTTTCCTCCATGTCACACATGCATACACACACGGCGTACAATAACAACGAGCGTATGGCCTTTTACTTGCTGGTGGCAGCACCACAAACGCTGCGAGCGAATTGTTGCGAACTTCTCACATTCCAGCACATTAACCATTTTCCGGTCGATTCCTTTCATCGGTTGCGCGCTTTGTTGGCCACAACGCTCGATGCTACGCGCGCGTAAAATGCGAACTTGTCTTCAAAGAAACTTTATCGCCTTATTTGTCTTTGGGTGTAATGGTGTAATGTTTTCRTTTTTATTGGCGCTGGAAAATCTCAAAAGACAACTTTCTTTTAACAACTTTGTCGCACTTAAAATTTAATTTCGTCACTAAAAGTTTGCCATTCTCTGGCTGACACGTGGTCACATGGCCGCAAGTGGAGCGCTGCAGTAYGAAGTAGTTGGCCATGTTAGAGAATTTTACTAGTCAATTAAGTTTTATAGTCAAACAGTATTTGAAAAGGAGAAACAATTTTTAGAAGTTGGTGCATAAATTAAAATTTTATAACGGTAGTTGGTACAGCAGAATTAATAATAGTAAATAATATTAATTTAACTTTTATGAATATTTAATGCAGTGTCAAAATCACGTTTTACTCTTCATTTCGCCATCTCTTTCTCTATCACCCTCTTTCCACTACAATATCTCTCTATTGCCTGCTCTCTTCAGGTGTTTGCCTCTTACTTGCAATTCTGCGGCATCGGTTTGCGTAACGCTCAACTTTACGAGAAATCCCAACTGGAAATMAAACGCAATCAGGTCTTACTCGATTTGGCGCGTATGATCTTCGAGGAGCAGAGCACCATTGAGCATATGGTATTCCGTATACTAACACACATGCAAAGTCTTATACAGTGCCAGCGTGTGCAGATCTTGTTGTTGCACGAGGCTTCGAAGGGCAGCTTCTCGCGTGTGTTCGATTTTGAAGCGAATGATCTCAGTGAAGAGGAGAATACGTCACGTACGAGTCCGCATGAGTCACGATTCCCCATCAATGTGGGCATCACCGGCTATGTGGCCACAACTGGTGAGGTAAGTGAACTGGTGTTGCATCATGTTTTATTATTTTCAAATTTGTATTAGTTGTGAATGAACTTAAACGMAATGCAGGGTTGTCGTGTAATTTTTTTAGTTAACATAATTAATTTATTTTAATTAAAATAATTT